TGTTTCTGAAATAATTTTTTCCAATACCTTCCTTCTCGGAAGCACCAAGGCGTCTTTAATCTGCTTTTTTCCTTCGTCCAGAACAGCAAATATCAGAGAGCCTTGTAATACTTGACAGGATAGTAGATAGAAAAATAAATTCCGATCTAAATAGGTTGTAGAGATTAGAGGTAGCAGAACAATGTTGATGTAAATCGAGATTATTTTGGAGAATTCTCAGAAAATTTATAAATGGGTGGTAACTCATCATTTTGGTCGCCTATTTATTGGTAGATAGATTTAGGAAACCCATAAATACGGGTTCCCTTTTAATTTTTTTTTTGAATAAAGTATTGTTTTCGTGACTACCAGTAAATCAGTAGTATGAGATGTATTCACACAATTTCATTTAAGGTGATGAAGGACTGGTAGAAGAAAGATTTTCCCACAATGATATGAGTTGAGCTGACGTTTCCATTGAATTTTACATAACTTGCTTTCCCAAATGTTATTCTCATCCCGGTTTGAGTGGACTGCAGTTTCGACCTCGCATCAGTCTTATGAATACCCTCAGAGGGAGTTGAACCTTTCATATTACTGGTTTACTGGGAAAGTAAGGCTATGTGAAATTCAATTGAAACGTCAGTTCAACTCATATCATTGTGGGAAAATTCTTCTTTTATCAGTCCTTCATCAGCTTAAACGAAATTGGGTAAAAACAACTCATATTACTGATTTATTGATAATCACGAAAACAATACTTAATTCGAAAAATAATTAAAAGTCAACCCGTATTTATGGGTTTCCTAAATCCGTCTATCATTAAATAGGCGACCAAAAGGATGAATTACCACCCTTTTTTTAAAAATCTCGATTTACACTTTCTATGTGCTATTAGGAGGAAAGTAGAATTCTGGTAGGATAAGATTGAATAGATGTCGAGAAAAGTTGACTTTTTGAGAATCCCACAAAGCCTGTCAGTCTTAGCTTTCAGTTCAAATTAGAGTTGGCTCAAGGGCTGTGGAACAATTTGACATTTAGCACTGCAGATTTGTGCAAGGATGTCTTCGGCATACCATCCTGAGACTCCGACGAACCTTTGTTGAGTGTTTTTACACTCTGCGTGGCAAAGCGGGAAAGAATTATTTATGAAAATTGCAATGGACATTAAATTAAGATTTTCATGTACCACTAGAAGGATGCGATTGTGACTGAACAGTCATTTCTTTCCGACATCACTTGCCGTTTGAGCCTGGTATATCCCATAGTACAGTGATATTTATTTACATGTTTTGTATGTTTCCACTCGTCACAGGCCATGCGATACAAGACTACTTATGCTCGGTGTTTCTCATTTCATCCTGTCCCCTGTATCCGATTGACCAGTTCACAATTTCCACACTATTCAGGAGACTTGCCTATTCATATATTTATGAAAACCATCTACTCTTCTGTCTGGCTTTACAGTCTCAATCTCTTGCAAAAAAAAGTTTGTATTCAGACCACCCCGTTTTTGAGAAACTCAAAAGCATTTAAATGCCGTAGTCTGTCTTCCGGTATCACATTAACAAAAAACGTAATAGCAACCGGAACTAGAACCAGGGTCTAAGCAATTCATAGAAGAAGGCATAATCAGCGAAATCTGTACTGTGTGAACACAAACAAAAGCTGGCCAGGTGTTATTTTCCCTTCATACATTCTTCCTAAAAATTTGCCAATCTTTTTCCATGACTGACAGGACGGCAACATCAAGATTTCACGGAAGGCAAGGGATAAGGCTATCTGTACCTCCCTAAATATATGCATTCCATTGGCTGGTTTACAAAAAATAAATGTCACTTAATCATAATGAATAATAGTCACCAGTAATTTTTTAGAATTGTCTATTCACTAGCATCTACAAATCCAAGAATCTTCAATATCATTGGCTATTTTTGTTGGTTGTTTTAATTAGAAAAAAGATTTATATGGAACTCTTCAAATAAGGACTCCAGCGCAAGTATTTTCAATCCATCTATTGCATTCACCCACTTTAACAAGTTATTTAGACCATCCTTACCTTATTGTCAAACAGAAAAATAGTATTCTCAATGCCGAGTCATTAATTTATGCAACTTGAATGCTTCTTCAATTAGGTGACGCTCCTGATGAGCCATGTAGTTAGCTGTTAAGGCCACGAATTATCATAATCTTATGTTCATAACTCGTGCTTATTCATATTTGTTGAGAATAAAATATTTACCGCTAATTAATGAATATATAAATGGGTATTCATTATACTCCAAAGTGTGATGCTCCGCTTATCGGAACTTTAAATTGCATTTTAAATGCATTAAAAGTTCAAATTCAGACCCTCTTTTATAGCCGATCTAATTGCTTTATAGAAGATTATCAAGTCTCAGTTACCGGTGCTACAAATCTCGAAATGTTTTCCAACCAATCCGTAATCCCAAAGGAGCAGGTCAGGTCAGCGCTAAAAGTGGTGATTGTGCGGTCGTTTGGTTGCTCTCCACGATTGACTGGAAAGTTGATTGAAAACTTACTTCACTTAAAATAGGTTCTGATACACTCCAATAAAAGGGATGTCCTAAAACTGATACATGCCAAGATTGGCAACATGATTGTTGAGCTCAAGAAGTGTTTATCCTCTTCTCCTCTTTTGCATGCCCTCCAATTGGAACAGGTTCGTCAGGAAGCCGAGCGTCGAGTCGCCAAAAATGAGGAGGAGTTCGAAGCGATCCGTAAACACAGCCAGCGCAGACTCGAGTCTATGCAAGTCAACCTGGAGGCCGAGGAGAAAGGCAAGGCAGAAGCTGTTCGAATGAAGAAGAAACTTGAGCAAGATATCACCGGACTTGAGGTGGCCTGCGACATCGCCAATCGGGCTCGTGTTGAGCTGGAGAGGGGTGTAAAGAAATACCAACAGCAGGTAGGTCTGGCTATCCCGTAAAAGATACCGAAACTCTAATGTTAACTCTTACCCTAAACTGTTTCGTCTTCGTCTGTATGCCTATGTTCCACGGTTTTCCTACAGATTCGTGAATTGCAAACACAGCTGGATGATGAGCATCGTAATCGTGACGATCATCGTGAGACCATTGCCACTGCCGAGCGTCGAATCAACCTTCTTGAGGCCGAGGTTGAGGAATTGCACTCCAGCCTCGAACAGTCGGAACACACTCGAAAGCTGGCCGAAGTAGAGCGCACCGAGGCCGTCGACAAGGCCAGTGATTTGACGGCTCAGGCTGCTTCACTGTCCGGACAGAAGAGGAAACTTGAGGCCGACATTGTTGCCATGCAGGTACGTGCCCTAAAACACACTTTGAGCACAGTGACGTTGACGCGTCATCGAATCTTTCATAGTTTAAGTGTATAATGATGATGATCTTTTCTTTGAGATATGAAAGTAAACTGGGTTTCAAAGAATTCCTTAATTCCATTTTGAAGGCAACGTTGGAAGGAATTCGTGATGTGGTCTCACCGGAAACCGGAAGACAGTCTTCCTTACGCTAAAATACTCCTTCGGTTTCCGGTGAGACGACATCACGAATTCCTTTCAACCAACTTTCCCTTCGAAATCGACAGTCATGCCACAATGATCTCTTCTTTTATTGCAAATTGACTGTGTTGCCAGAAAGACCTCAAAGAAGGTATCTTTATTGATGAACGCTTGCGTAGTAGTTGTCGCCATCCTTAGCCCCCAGCAACAACTACTCTCTGGATCAACCTTTTGCTAAACGCTTGTGGTACGGTCACCTCTTCCCTATTTTCATATTCCTACTCCTTCCTAAATTTGGTCACCTGTAAGGCACCCCAGAATAAACGGCTTCTATGTTGTGATAGGGAGGGATATATGAATCCAACTATTTTCAAGAATAGCAGTTGTACTTGAGTACAAATTTACTCAATCTCGATTGCCTAATTTAAGTAAAGTTTTTCCAGAATAAGATGAGTAGCCCTTTGGATGTCATTGGATCTCACTTGGTTTTGCCTCCCAAAAGGCTATCTCATCCAGGCCGAGCTTGATTGCAGCTTTGATCTCGTTTCATAGTCTGTTCAGCGTTCCCAACGGGACTCAAAACCATGTCTTGAGTAGACTGACGAAGTTACCAATCAACTATATAGCCAAGAATGCTTAATGATTACAGAGCAAATTCGACATTTAATGTAGGATTTTTATTTGAGCCAAAATGTATTTATAATTGCAATCAATAACGTTACTTAATTCCGATATGAGTAGGTTTTGAGAAGAATAAGAACATGGCCTAAAGTTAGTGGTATTTCTTTTAGTGTGAAGAAGGGTAAATAGTTGAATTTTCTCACACAATATGAATAGACTTCACGTTTTCATTAAATTTAACATAATCTTGCTTTCAAAAGGTATTCTCAGCCAGACTGGAATGGACTGCAGTTTTGACTTAACCTTCAACCCTCGCACCCATCTTGTATATATATTATCCATTCACCTAAGCGACCTAGACTGACTAAGTTCTCAACATGTGTTGGTTTTGAGAAGGATTTTGAAACAGTACCTTAGTCTCTCTAGACCACTTGGGGTGATGAAGGACTGACGGTGGATTTTCCCACAATGAGGTGAGGTCGAATGGGCAGTCCTCCCCGAATGAAGGTAACATTTGGGAAATAAAGTTATGTGAAATTGAACGAGAACATTTATTACCAATCCAGGCTTGTCTTAAGCGACATTAAATCTACAGGTAATCTCGAAGTAATACTTAAAACGAAGATACGTTAGGAAGTTAGTCAGGCCAGGAGGTCTAAACATGTTAAGCAGGGTTGAGAGGGTATACTAGAATTTATTTAGCAATTAACTTTAAGGACGTGGCCTACATTCTCTACTCCGCGACAATAATCCTTCGGTTTTCTTGAACCTATTTCACGAATTACTTCCAAAGAAATTTTCCTTCGAAATAAAAATTCGGGCCACAATTAGTTTAGCCTCGCCACCCTTCTCGGTTAAACTGAAATTTCTACCTCGTATAGGTCACATCAGAGGCCTCAACGAGACTCGAAACGTAACTACATGTAACGTCGTCAATTCTAACGATGAATACTTGTTTGCCTCAGCAACATTCCCAATACAAGAAAGGCGATATGAGCAAAGCCAAACTTGCATTGAAGTCCACTTTTGTCCTCTGGCCAACTGGCACTCGTGGCATTCTGATGGAAAGGGTGACATGTTGAAAATACACGCTGAACAACGACAGCCCAGATTCCATTTCCGTTGAGGCTGAATACGAGACCCTGGCGTAGCCCAAACGGCAGTCCAGCTGCGAAAAGCATAGATTTTGAAATTTAAGGCTAAGGAAAATCAGTAATATGTGGTGTAATTACCCAATT